GAAGGTGCCATACTTTTACTGAGCTCAGGCATAAACTAATTTATTGTCCTAAAGGAAAATGAGCTTGAGCAACCATTTATTTTGGATTATCTTATTTTTTGATGAATGTACAGTAGCAGATTACTTGGACCCAATTTTTCTTTTTCAAAGCCTTGCAGCATAATTGTTAAACATTTTGGTTTTGGCAAACTGAAGTGACTGTTGGTAAATATCATTGTTTTTCTTCATTGGCAAAATGGGGATAATTATAGGAATATCAGTGTTTTAAGGATTAAGTGGGAGAATGTAGGTGAAGTCCTTAAAGTTATTCCTAGGACATAGTGAATATTGAAAAGTAGCTATCATTGGTATTATTATTTACCTTAGGAAAACTTGTTAACAAGAACATTTATTCTTTCCACAAATCTTAATTAAACATGTACTCATGGAACTTGTAGTCTAGTAATGGAGACATAGAATAAACATCAATACATAGACATTGTTAACAAATGCTATGAAGGGACTGGCTAGAGCATATGAAGGGTGGGGTGGGTGACAAAGTTAGATAATAAGGGATGACCTCTCTGTGAAGGTGATGTTTGTGTTGAAAAGTAAGAAGGAATAAGCCAAGCCAAATATTGTTTTGGGAGGTGAAGAGAAAAGATTGTAGGCAGGAAGGACAATACATGCAGTTAGACTGGAGTTTGGCCAAATTTTGGGAACTTAACAAACTTGGGTAACATAACGAGGTAAGAAACAACACATTCTTCTCTTACTGATGCTTTTGGAGTATGAGGATTCTCACTGGATTCTATGGTCTGAAGAAAATGTGGGGTAGAAGGATATCTCTGAAAATGATAAAAGGAAGGAATAGAGATTAGGTTATATAAGCAGTGGAGATTCCCAGTAGAGGTAATATTAACAAAACAGAAAATCCAATGCATAGGAATTTTTAATAGAAAAGATCCAAAAGGTTTCATTTTGCTGACCTATATATCTTGAGAGATTTATTTTGACATATAAAATACCCTGCATATAACTCATTGCACCTATAAAATAAAACTAAAACTTGTACCAACAAAATATTACTGAAACTATGAAAGAATGAAACACTAATTATTTAAAAATAGTTTAAACATAAAATAAGTGATTTTTTATTTTTTTATTCTACTTACCTATGTCAGAGAAAGAAAAAATATATATTGTCTTTATGATGCCAAATACCAATGGATTTTAAGATACCTGAATGAAAAGACAAATGTTTTTATATCTCACCCAAATGTTTGCTGTTATATTACCCTGGGATGGTAAAGTGACTAGATTACCCACCCCCCGCCACAAAACTTAGATCTTTATTGAATTTGTGGGAATCTGAAATACATTGATTAAAATTTAAAATTCCATAAACTGCATGATTAATATTCAGTGTCAAACATACAATATATGTACCAAAATTCAAGTATTTAGATTCTTCTATATAATTTAGAACAACCTCTCACTGAGCATCTATCAAATATTTTTGTTTTTCTAAGCCATTTTTTAAAATCAGCTTTTGTTTCTGATTATAAACATGAGCTTATTACATGTTTGTAATAATTCATAAATTCAAATCATGCATAAAACTGGAAACATGAAAATAAAAATCTAATTTACAACATGGAGACTCAGAAGATTTAAAGTAGGAACCTGGTAATATGTATCTTTAAAGATGCCCCCCCCAAAAAAACTCTGTGACTGAGATTCTCAAATGTTAATATGCATATGAATCACTTGAAGATTTGTTAAAGATTATGATTCAGGTGTCTCAGGTGGGGCCCAAGGTCCTGCTTTTCTAGCAATATTCTAGCAGTGCTCATGCTGCTGATCCAAGGGTCCCAGGGAGATGGCTTTCTATATTTCTTAAAAAGCTTTCAAAGATGAAAACTTTACAACCTTTTCTGGCACTGTTTTTGACAAATTTTCCACTCAGACTATGAAAAATGTTTTTCATTATGGTAAGCTAATTTAAGATGAATTTCAATTTTAGTTCTCTCTCTTTATAAGATTACTACTTGTAAAGGCTGTTACATTCGGATAGGTGGCTTTAGCTAGAAGTTCAACTTTATGTTTGTGCTCAGTGCACTCAACTATCAAGTCCGTTTTCTTGAATCATTATCAATCTGTTTCTGCCCAGGCCTTCTTATGGGGTTGACAATGCCACAGAATGCCTTGTCTAATGATCAGACTTCATTATTCCTAGACAGCCTACCTATACAAATCAGGAGGTCTTGACTCCAAGGAATTCTAGAGAAACAGCCAATGTTGAGACTTCTCAGAGTCTCTTTTTTCTTTTTTTTAAGACAAATCTGGAGGGTGCCTGGGTGGCTCAGTCGGTTAAGTGTCTGCCTTTGGCTCAGGTCATGATCCCGGGGTCCTGGGATTGAGTCCTGCATCAGGCTCCTTGCTCTGCAGGGAGCCTGCTTCTCCCTCTCCTCCCCACTTGTGCTCTCTCTCACTATCTCTGTCTCTTTCTCTCAGATAAATAAATAAAATCTAAAAAAAAAAAAGAAATCAGGAAACAATCCCAGATTATGCATCAGCCCCATTAATTTAGACCTCAGCTGGGAAAACTCTAGAGAATAAAAACTTAATTTATTTATAATATAGGGGTTCATTATTTTTCTTCCTGGAAAACAACTGTTTTTAGTTTTTCTCAGCACATATTAGATAAAAGCCTGAAAGCAGCATCTACGGATTCAGGTTTTAGTTACATGGTTGGAGCTGTTGTTATAAATCTAGCAGTGGTCACTTTATAACAATAATTATAACAGACCTATTTTCAGGGCTATGTGTCAGACACTGTGCAAAGCACTTAATAACCATTATCTTAACCTTACACAAAAATAAGCTATGAATACTAGCATTAACTCTATTTTAAAGATGAAAACTTTGTGAAGTTTAGCAAGGTTAAATAATTGCCCCAGGTCATAAAATAGTAAGTGATAGAGGTAAAACACGATGAATCCAGAAAGCAAACCCAGTATTTTCTAACTCCAAAGTACATACTCTTAATTTCTCAACTCTTTTTTTTTTTTTTAATCTCTCTCTGGCTAAGTAGGCAACCTCAATTATGACAAAATCTATCACTGATACTTTTAAATGAAATAATCCATTTGTTTATTGTTTTGGCATCTAAAAGGTGATGATTCTAAAAGATTTATTGATGCAATTCTGGAAAGTAGTATTCCTCCTAAGCAAGTATCCCTTGTATTTTCACTTAATGTATTTTTCCTCCTAGTCTGCCAGATGATGGTAGTAACAGTAATACAGCACCGTTATGCTTGGATTATTTACTTGTTAGTATGAGGAGTTGCTATAAGCGAGTGAACCAAATGATTTAATATCTATTCCCTTCCCTTGAAGAAACTTCAATAAGGTGCATTTGTCTGAGGGAGAGAGAGAAAGAGAGACACAGAGAGAGAGAGACTCAGAGAGAGGGAGGGAAAGATTTTTTTTTTAAACACTTTTGCATGAACAAATTAAATGGTGGTAAAATTCCATAATGATGGTATCCAATGGGCCAACCACATTCTTTTCTGAGTTATTGGAGGGACTTGAAAATCTCTTGGTCAGAGAGCTGTTTTTTCTTCTTAAACTAGTGAGATTTAGGTCATAGAATGAAAACTCTATTAGGGAGTGTTTAGCAATGCTCTAGAGAAATGGTGAATTGAGGCCCAAGAAGAATTTCCCTAGCTGAGACCTGGCCTTTGCCGACAGCAGAGCCTTTCTCTTTGAGAGTTCCTTGAAGTTTTGTCCGGCCCATCATACCCTGAATGGGAGGTTTATGAAATTTAAATGTTGTTTAAAGTCGTTCTGCTAATTGAAGTGCCAGACGTATGACTGGCTCTGTGAGGTTTGATGCAGATGTGTGGCTCAGTTTTTATAATGGTTCCTCTTTATAAAGCTTTAAAGGAATAAAAGAGGAGATTACTTGCTTACTAAATTGATCCATGCCACTGATTACTCTTAAAACTCAATCTCCCATGCTCATTCTCAAACCAGATTAATCATGCAATCAGCTTTCTTCTACCATATGGAGTCATCTATTTATCTATACATGCACACATACACATACATATCTTTTATATATGTAAAATGAATGAGTATGATTCCAATATCTTTCCAAAGTCAGCCTTAACTTCTGGCCCTAATTGTGGAAGTTTCCTGACAGGTTTGGGCATGGAAAACTGAATCACAGGATATTATGTAGTTTTTAGATCACTCAAAGTAGGCAGTTTCAATTACACAATTATAGTATATTAACTATTAGCATGAGTTTCTGGATTAGGAAATTTTGCTCTAAGAAAGAGTGGTTTCAAGTCTGCAGCTACGTTTTTCTTCATAGTACCAGGTTCTTAACAATCGAAGATAAATGAACCGCCCTTGCTTTCAGTGCAAGTGAGGGGAAAAAAATACACATACACACACCCTGGGGGAAGAAAAAGCAGCAAGACAAAGTTCTCCTTAGTAGTTCAATTGAGAGGGGAAAGGCTTGTCTGGCGGTTTGTGGGAGTGAATCTAATTATCAGTCTCTTACTTTCATTAAGAGGTTGAAGCAAGTTAACTTCTTAGGGGAGGAAGAAGTAGACATTATGTCTGAATTCTGAGACTACATTATCATCATTTAAGCATCATTTTCACAAAAATAGTTTTTTCTTAATAAGTCCTTTGTGAGGTTGGGCAGGTGGACAGGAAGAATATCAACTATGAGAAAGGCAAAAATCACTTGTAAAATATGGTATACTTATAGATGGGAAGACAGAGCATTCTGGAAAACTGGAGAGTACACTTTAATAAATTTGAATCTACATCTGTGTGGTTTAATTAGCTAGATGGAGCCTCAGTGAAAAATTTCACTGTCATCCACTGTAATACATTCCTGTAATCCTAGTTCATTTCTCCTTTCTCCCCAGTGGACTGTGAGTGAGAAGTCCTCTTGGGTATAGTCTATATGTTTCCTGACCAATATTTTTGTTTCTTAGCCTCACAAGCCAAAAATCTGATGATGACTATGAAGATTATGCTTCTAACAAAACATGGGTCTTGACTCCAAAAGTTCCTGAAGGTGATGTCACTGTCATCTTAAATAATCTCCTGGAAGGATATGACAATAAACTTCGGCCTGATATAGGAGGTATGTTAAAGTAATTTGTGATATTGTAGAGATAGAAATGAACGTGCCTACCACACTAGAAGAAAACATGAGTATGTTTCAATAACCAGAAAGACTTAAATGATCATTATATGCTGTAAAAATAAAGAACGTATAAGTAGCATTCAGGCATAGGGGTCAGAGGGGCCTTGATAAATGCAAGATGAGGAAAGAGCATCGATAATCTTTAAATGAGGCATGAGAGCTGGAAATTCAAATTCTCCTAGATATCTTAGACAAAGGTTATAGAAGGAATATGACAACTTCTTTATGAAGTAACATCAAAAACAAACAAGTAAATATGGTAAAGAAAGGATATATTAGTTACCTACTGCTGTGTCACAAACCGTTGCAAATCTCAGTGACATATAAAAAGCATTTATTTAGCACTTTGCCAGGGGCAGTCTAATCTAAATTAAGCCAGATTGGAGCTGCTCATTTAAGGAAGCTGTATTCTCATCCTACTCCTGGGACCAGGAGACTAGCTAGGATTATCCTTCTCATGAAAATAACAAAGAGCAAGACAGAAAGGAGAGGCTCAAACATAAGGTTTAATGCTTGGGATTAGAATTAGTGTACTCATTTGTCCATGTAGTATTAGCCAACACAAGTTAGATGGTCAAGCCTGAAGTTCAGAGGCAGTGAAGTAGCCTCATTGGAGTGAAAGCAGAGGCATAGATGCAGGGACTAGTGAAGAATTCAGTCCAACACAGAAAATTATGACATGGCACTTTCAGGGAGAGTGGATGAAGATGAGAAAAATGTACTTGTTGAATTGAAGCACAGAATGATAATACGAATCCTTGTTCATTAAATCTTAAATGAAAATGGAGCACATCCATTTGGTCATGAATGTAATACTACATGATTTTTAATATCAGTCCTCTTTGACTAATAGGTGTGTACTGGGGTTCCATATGGTTTCCTCATATTATTTGATGAGTCACACAATTGAGTAAGTCATTGGGGAAGATTGATTTTGTGTTGGCTGAGGTGTATGAGGATAAAGTGGTCATGAAAGGAATCAACAGAGGGCAATTCATAATATTTGTTGCTCTTCATGTCTATTTCATGTTTCTAAAGCATATTTTTTCTAGATCACTAAGTAGTTATTTTTTCTACATGGGTCAAGTCAGGTTACCATGCCCAAATAGATTCCAGGGCTTAAAGATATATCTGAGATATCTGAGAGAAGGCTGAAGAAAATCTGAGCAGTGTTTTCTTATTTGTTTATTGTAATACACAATTTTAAAGGATAATCAGTTTCAAACTCTAAATGCTTAGTTACTGCATTTACATGCTTAAAAGGAGATTTTTTTGGAACATAGTTATTTAAATGTAGTGAATTAGTTACTGACACCAAATTGTGAATAAATCACTTCTAATGTAGCAAAATAAATGTATTTCTAGAATAACACTAAAATATTAAAATGTTGTGCTTCACCACATGCACATATCTATCATTTTCTTTACAGTGAAACCGACATTAATTCACACAGACATGTACGTGAATAGCATCGGTCCCGTGAATGCTATCAATATGGTAAGTTTCTAATAGTCTGTCTATTTTGTTAACATATTAGAGAGGAGATGTGGCATCATAAAAATAGCAAAGAATATGCTGACAAAAAAATTCATAAGGGAGAGACAATATTTCAGATTCTTTTTTCTCTATTGTAATATAAAGATAATTATTTTTTATAATTTGTTATGAGAACTAAGTGTGATCATATGTATATAAACTACTTTTTGTAAAAATGATATACTTTTAAAATTCAACAATCATTGCTTACTTGGTAAGTATAGCTTACTAGAAAATAAAATACAGTAGTCCATAATTTTTAGAATTTGATGGTATGGAGAAGGCATAGTTTGTTTCAAACTGGAATTATTTATCAGAAGAAATAGTGGATTAGATGTAACAATAAATATAGCTTTGTTCTGTCTGAATCTGAAAATAAGAAACTAGATTGGAGTCTAGAATAAAGTAGAACATACTATAACATAACATAACATTAACAAACATAACATAGTCATAGTATAATTTTGAAATAGTGTTTACCAAGTAGCAGTAAAGACGCTCTGTTGAGTCAGGGAGATGAGAAACTCTTAAGTGTTCTCATTCGGGGTGATAAAAAAAAGTCTACCACCACCTGCATACACCATGCAAGTAAACCATTAAAGAAATACCAACACAGGTCCTCCTTATAACTAAAATTTTCAGTATATTTAGCATTCTAATGCAAATTATAAATATTTAAGAAAAAGCTATATGGATAGTTTATTTAATTAGAACTTTTAATTTCAGGAATATTAGTTCCCAGAACTGCTATCCCAGGACCACATTTTATGAAATGCTGGTTCAATGAACCTTAAAGCTTTTATTTTTGTGTGTATGTGTATTTTTTTTTTCTTCTTGCCAAAATGTAGATCAGAAGCTATTTAATTACTTTACCTACTGGCACATCACTAACTAGTTGACAAAGAATTTCGTAAAATAAGTTCCCTTCTTACTGTTCGTAGACTACAAATATGGAACTAAGTGGTGAACAAAGTGATAAGGCTTACGCTAGTGGAAATATAGTTAGTTACAATAAGATAACACAGCAGGGAGGTGCAAAGAAATAGCACAGAACAATGCAAATGAGGCAAAGGAAGAAGATTCTGGTCTGATCCTGACAGGCTGTGTTTTGAAGGTGTAATGTATGTAATATGGATGATTCTCATTGCCCAGCTCTCATATTCTAAGTACACTGAATTTTTTCTTCAATTTTCTCATTTATGGACATCATTAAAATCAAGTTATACAATGTTAAATAATATCTAAATATGACAAACCAGAACTTGAATGTTCTGTCTCCAGGTCTGTGGTCTGAATTCACATGACACTTTACTTCTCTTTGATTGAAGTCAATCACTTGCCACTTTAGTGATATATATTTGAGGGTAATCATTATAAAGTCATTGCTCATCACAGCACTTTGTGAATGTGCTTTGTGATGTGGTTAGTAGTAAAGACTATTTTTTAATTGATTCATTTCCTCTTATTTGGAGAAAAGGACAACTATATAGTAACAAATTTTGAGAAGTTACCTTACATTTGGTGTTTGCTATCTGCCAAACACGACACAAACTACTTGATGTGCATTCCCCTTTTCCATCTTCACACTACCTAACAAAACAGGTGTTTTGTTTTTTTTAATATTTTATTTATTTGTCAGAGGGTGAGAGAGAGAGAACTCAAGCAGGGGGAGCAGCAGACAGAGGGAGAAGCAGACTCTCTGCTGAGCAGGGAGCCCGATGCAGGACCCGATTCAAGGACCCTGGGATCATGACCTGAGTCAAAAGCAGTTGGTTAACTAACTGAGCCACCCACACATCCCAACAAGACAGGTTCTTAAAGATCCCAATTTTATTATGAGGCAACTGAGCTCCAGAGCTCCAGTTTAAGATTGTTTTGAATAGTATGGACTTCCTACACTCTTTAGCAGCGAATTCTGAACCTGAGTGATTGTTTTCCTGGAGATACATGTGGCAATGTCTGGAGATATTTTTACCTGTCACAATATGCAGGGGCTTGGGGGTGGTGGTGTGGTGTTTGTGTTACTGGCATCTAGTGGGTAGAGGCTAAGAATGCTACTAAGCATTCTGAAGTACACAACACAGCCCCCACAACAAAGAATGAGCTGGCCCAAATTAACATGAGAAACTGATCTAGAGACACAGAATGCAAATGATTATATCACAACTATGATCTTTTGCTGGAATTCATCTAAACAGGTCTATTTTTTCATAAAAATATCAATTTGTCTAGAAAAGATGGGTGTGTCTCCTTAGCAAAGCTTTTGCTTTCTTTTGAATTATTCAAAACTAAAGTAGCTTTGCTTTGTATTGGCAGTGAGAATACAAATGATAAATATAAACAAATGGTCTACAATACAATTCTGTGTTAAAAATGTTCTATTTCACCTTTTTTTTTAAAAAAATTACAGGAATATACAATTGACATATTTTTTGCCCAGACATGGTATGACAGACGTCTGAAATTTAACAGCACCATTAAAGTCCTCCGATTGAATAGCAACATGGTAGGGAAAATCTGGATTCCAGACACTTTCTTCAGAAACTCCAAAAAGGCTGATGCACACTGGATAACCACCCCTAATAGGATGCTGAGAATTTGGAATGATGGTCGAGTGCTCTACACCTTAAGGTATGCTTCTGAAAAAGGAAAGGAGTAATCTCTGGGAATAAAACAAAGATCAACTACACACTCTTAAAACAAGAGGCATGAAAAAAATTTCAAACCTACATCAGGGTGGGCATGTGTGATCAAAATAATATGTGATAGTACAAAATTTGCTTTTCTTTCTCTTATCAACGAGCTTTTCAAATCATAGGTAGAATTTTATTTTCTGTGACTGATGTGAGAACTCTGTTTTCTTTCAGGGACATGAAATTTCCCTTGCCTTTATAAGGTTACCTGATTTTTGCACCAGTCTTGGCTTTTGCCTATGTGTTCTGCTACTTTAAAATAAGGAAACGAAAACACAGACAGTTATCCTTGGGACCACTAGTTGTTATGCTTGGAAATGTCTCTGTTTCCAAGGAAACCATTGCTAAAGGAGAAATTTTGGTGTGGAGGTCTCCTGGTACCTCCTTGTCTTTTAGCTGCACAATAGCAAGTACAATGAGTTCTATCTCCTAGCACCCACTCTGCTCTATACTGATAGGCTATTTGACTTAATTTACTGGCTAATTTGGAAATAGACTTCTTTAGGGATAATTTGAAGAAGATATCTTTTATTTTCTGAATTTAAATGATAAGTAACAGTTGAGAGATTTTCTACTTAAATTACTGTATGCCATTATCTTAGCGCTTAATACCTACATGCATTTAAAATATTTTGATGTTGAGGTTTTTCATGGGTGAGAGTATATTATTAAACAACATAATAGATTAGTACATAGACTTAAGAACCAGACAAATCTGGCTTTGGTTCTTAGACCTATATCTTACTATCTGTATGAATTAGGGCAACTCTTCAGAATTTGTATGTAGAGGACTTAGGGGCAGCTATCTTGTTGCAGGGGTCTTGGTGCCAGAAGATGTATCTCAAAGTTTTATTAGTAAGTTTGATGTTTTTACTTGGTTACATCTTTATTTAAAGAAATTAGGTAGGAATTGATGGAGATTATTGGAAAAGAGGTACCCACCACCCCCATGGTTCATGCCCCCATCCAAGACAAGTCTGAGCAAACTCTTTTCATTTCTTTAATTTCTATAAAAAATAAAATAAAATAGAGATAATGATTCTTATAGTATTAAATGGGCCAATATGTAAAATGCTTCACATGCAGCCTGATATATAGTAAGCACAACAGATATTGAAATTATTTATATATATTTTCAGTAAAAATTATGGATAATATGATTCTTCTAGATCTTAGGACCCTGGAACTTCTAGCTTCAAAATGATTCCTTTTAAAAACTCTTGTGGCATGTACTTTATTCCTTATATAACACTTGGCATGCAAAATAAAATACTTTAAATGGCTCCAAAACCTATATCAGAGTTATGTCAGTAACTAGGAAAATTGGCCATAATTACAAAAGAAATTCATGACATATAGTTTGTATTCTTCATGGGTTTCATTAAATGTGAGAGATAAAGTAATGACTGAAATTAGAATCTAGTGGAAATGAAAGTTTGATAAATCAGAGTCAGTCTTGCTTTTGAAATATTGTCACTCACACTATCCCAAGTCCCTTGATTGTTCTCATAACTACACTCATTTTTTCATTTCTATTAATTTGTAGAATCTCTATACAATATTTAATTATGGAAACCACCTCAAAAATGCCACTCATGAGATTCAAAGTTTGAATGAGTTGTGAACTACAGAGAGAGATGATTTTATTCTTGTTGCTAATCTATAATAAGTAACGAAATTTGTGTGTGCAGAGATAACATATATGTATCTGTCTTTGCAATCTCTAAATTATTTTCAATTTAATAATTCCAGTTTAATTTGAAAATAATAAAATATCAAATTTAATTGTCATTTCACTTATGAATGAAACTAACCTTTTCTTTGGAAGAGCATGTAATTATTGAGTGACAATGATTAAAACCTTTGGCTTTGGAGACAAATAGTCTTGGGCTCAAATCTCAACTGTGCTGCTAGCTTTGTGACTTTGGACAAGTTCAAGTACAATAAAGCCATAATAACACTTACTAAATTAGAGAACAATTTGCCATACCCAGTGCCACATAGATTATTAAAGGCTCAATATTATTATTTATGTTTAAGATCAGTAACCGTCCTATTATACCATAGAAAAATGAAATCTCTCCAATTAAAAATTATGCTGAATTGTAAAATCTTTTAAAATAAATAAATGTTTATAATTTTTTTCCTTCAAGATTAATACCTGTAAGATATATAGCTAACAAATAAGAAATCTTAAAAATCATCAGCCCATCACCATTACAATTTTAGAGTATAGTTCTACTTCTCCAAAGATGGTCAAAACATCTGGAACTCCATTAAATTTTTTCCCTCCTAGAGTCCCAGCCCATACTGAGATCCAGAAATCTGTATCTTTAATAAGCACCCAGATGCAAACTAATTGAGATTCACTGGCAAACATTTTTCTAATGTCTGTGTATGTGTATTTAACATTTCTTGTTTACCATTAAATATTCTTCTACTCTATAACATCCTATTTATGGCTTCACAGTGTTCCATTATCAGAATGCATAATACTCCATTGTGAAATATAAGTATTTTAAAAGTCACATATAGTAATTTAAATCTAACAGCTAACAAGTATTAAAAACAGAAGGTTCTGCTTTAATTAGCAGATAAGAGCTGAGAATTTATCAGCATTCATTTACATGCAAACAGCAAATGAGCTTAAGTTCTTAAAATTGTTGTTAAATATACTCACCAAACAATCTCATGTGTGCAATTAATTTGCCAAAAAAAATTATCTGATCATAAATTTTGGAAAAAATGGAGTTGCTGTCAATGAAATCCTATTGATTGGTCTGTGAAAATGGTCTACATTAAGTCTTGAGTAATTTTCTCCTGGACTTGGCGGGTTTCTTCAGGGAGAATCACCTTGTATTATCGATAATAATATGAGATGTATTCTCAAGCAACAAAGATGAAGAATAGTCATTAAAAATTGTACTAATGTATATTCTTAAAATTATGTCTAAATGATTTCTATTTAGGTTTCATATCTTTCTATTTAGGTTGACAATTGATGCAGAGTGCCAGTTGCAGTTACACAATTTTCCGATGGACGAACATTCCTGCCCCTTGGAGTTCTCCAGCTGTAAGTAATCTCATTCTGTATTATGTATTCTGTATCCTCTCTCACCAACAGTTTTCTAATTGCAATGCCAACTAATTGGGAGACTCCTAGAGAATGCAGAATCAAGCAATTTTGTTGACTTTGAAAATTTTGACAGTTACTTTCATCATCATACCAGTTTATTCCTATTAGAGTGATACCTGCAAAAAGGATCTATTTTATCAGAAATTACAAGTAGGCTTCACTGGTGTATAAAATTTTAATATATTTGCAGTGGCTGCCTGAAGACATTTTTCAAGGATTATAAAACCAGGCCTGGCCACAAAGGAAAGGTATAATGGTGGATTTTACATCCTTATTCCCTGCCCCTATCCCTCCCTGTTCCTCCCACCACCCACCACCACCACCCCCCGCCCCCGCCACTGCCCCCATAGGTGCAGGAGAAGAGAGTAGCAAAATATTTGCTACTTATTTTCTCCCTTACACATCAGGAGATACATAGATTCAACAGTGTCATTTGCTTATTTCAATTTCAGTAATACCTGTTAAAGATAGCAAAATTGAAATTTACCTTCTCCATCTGGAGTTCAAGCAATATCTAGAACTAGTTATTTACCAGTGAGTAAAAGACTAATTTTTTGGTGTCTTATGGGTCTAGTTCAAATCCCTACTCCATCACTGTGGTCTTGAACAAATTACTAAATCTTCCAGTGAGTCCACATTCTTAGGTGCCCAATAGAGATTATGAGACCTGCCTCACCACAATATTGTTTTGTTGATGTAATATATGTAAAATGCTTGGTATGCTACCTCACACACATTAAGATTCACTAAAAAGCTCTATTAATTTTATTGATTGTTATTATTATCAGATAATAGACTATATACCAAGATGATCCATGATGATTCTGAAACAAATTAAGCTTTAGTAACCTTTGTAGATATTTCCTCCCTGAACCAAAACCAAGCTTCAGTTTCCCGCAGATGTTTGCCTGAGTTTTTGTTCAACACTCGTTTAGGTTTCTCATCTCTTCCTTATTTTTGGTCTGCCAACTAGGCATGCTAGGCAGAATGAAAAACTGATTATGAGTTTTTTTTTTTAAAAGATTTTATTTATTTGACAGAGAGAGACACAGCGAGAGAGGGAACACAAGCAGGGGGAGTGGGAGAGGGAGAAGTAGGCTTCCCGCCGAGCAGGGAGCCCGATGCGGGGCTCAATCCCAGGACTCTGAGATCATGACCTGAGCCGAAGGCAGATGCTTAACGACTGAGCCACCCAGGCGCCCCTGATTATGAGTTTTAAGTTTATATTTCTATAAATAGAATTTCTCAGGCAGGAAGTGACAGAGACTCATAAGAGCCAACTAAGTCATAATAACTATATTTAAAAAAAAAAATCAGTGATGAGAGAAACAATCATCTGTTCATCATTACATCAATTCCAGAATGAACTCGAGGAAAAATATCACTGTATATCATATGTATTTTAAAAAGTTCCCATTATGCATCTTATTTCATACGTTTTACTTTATCCAGGGATGGAATATTTTTAAGTAAAATCTTCCCCAAGCTTTGGGAGATTAGACTTCGTTTCTTTTAATTTCCAACTGGGTCCACTCCTTTTCTGAGCTAAAATTTAAGAACTGGTGATTTCTGTGTCTTTAGGTCACTGATGGACAACTGTCTTCTGAACCCAAACACAACTTAATGTTACTTATTGCTCTCAAAAAAGTAAATCACCTACGTGTTCTCCATAGGAAGTTTCCTAACATCATCATTCTTTTTCTCAGTTTTCAGCACATTCTGCCCCACCTTCCCCTGTTCCATGCCAATCTGGGGATCATGCTTTCTTTTTCTTTCATCTTAGTCAATAAACACATAATACACAACTACTTGGACCAAAAGAAAAGAAAAGGAAGACACATAGGGATTTTATTCCAAGTAGTCAATCAGCCTCCATAATTAAGACTTAGGTTTATATTGCATTATTAGTAGACAAATAGTTTAGACGATGTCTAGTTTTGTTTATCTATTTATCTATTTTTACTTGAGTTTATTTTGAGTTTTATTTTTTTTAAGATTTTATTTTAAGTAATCTCTACCCCCAACATGGGGCTTGAATTTACAATTCCAAGATCAAGAGTCACATGCTCTACTTACTGAGCCAGACTGGCACCCATACTTGAGTTTATTCTACAATTAACTTAATAATGTTTATCCATTCAACAAATATATATTGACCATCAGTTTCATGAAAAAAGTACTACCCTGATCCCCATAAAGAAACAAATAATTTAGGGAAAAAAAATGAAGAAACTTTTATAGGGTATTATGGCCAGCAAATGGTACTGATAACCACTACATTGTCAGTACAATATCTCTTAAAAGATGACTTTCTGTTCTCTTGGCTGAACATGATTGACTTCTTCAGAATCTACATAGTACTCATTGGTATCTTCCCCTGGGCATTTCTACTTTACTGGTCTTAATTGTAGTAAGTAGAATTTCTACATATATTAAAATGAAGTCCCAACAAATTGAGAAAGAGAGAATAATGTAAGTAGTTGAGGTTATTTTTCCCAGTCACCTTCCACTCCAAGGGCATGCCCTGGTGAGGCATTTGAGTCTGCTCCTCTCCTGTTATTTTCTGTTTCTGCATGATGCTCAATACCTTGCCCTGTTAATTCTTCTTCATCATGAAATAATACCTGTGCATGATGACTATTCTATTGCTTATATATTTGCTACTTTTTATATCTTACCCTAGACAATGTAAAGTATGAATATAGTATACGTGAAACCATGTATAATATACTGTCTATGCAAATTAAGTGACTTTAAGGGTAATTTTGACCTCATAGTTTTTAAAATTCCTGTTGGGAGAAAATGTCATTGTATTTATTTCTTCTATTGTGAGATTCTTTAGTTCAGGCTCTTCTAATTTATAAGTCAGTCTCTATCACACCTACCTCAGTGTCTTGTTCATAGAAGGTGGTTGCTACATACGTTCACTTATAAATAATTTTAAATGTGTGCTTTCCCGTCTAATGGCAGATGGCTATCCACGTGAAGAAATTGTCTACCAATGGAAGCGTAGTTCTGTTGAAGTGGGTGACACAAGATCTTGGAGACTTTATCAATTTTCATTTGTTGGACTGAGAAATACCACTGAAGTAGTGAAGACAACTTCTGGTAAGATGCACTTGAATTTTAAGTGACCCTTCCGGAGTTAAAATTCTGGGATATATATAATTCAGAAGGCTTTTCAATACCTGTCTACAAATGCTATGAATAAAATTAAGTGAAGTGTTTTAATTTACCAGAGAAAATTATAATTGGTATTTTAGCATAATAAATATAAATGGATTCTATCATTTTGAAGCAAAATGGATTAAAATTGGATTAGTAAATTATTTGTGTAATTTCTTTAAGCAAAAAGGAGTAGCAATTATTTTAAAAGCAGAAAATATTTATGAGGTGTAGGTGTAATGTTTCTTTTAGGGAATAGGTTTCATGGTATATTGAAATAGCATTTAAAGTAATCACACAAGGAACATTAACTTTCTACAAACGCAGAAATGTGATAATACTGGATATGGACTGATTTGGCATTCAGTAATTTAACATGTTGAATTGCCTACATCATGGATATGGGACAGGCCTGGTTTTAAATCCCAAATCTATCAGTTACCACCTATAGATTTTGAGAAAATTACTGTATTTCTCAGGGATCAACTCTCCCAGATATCTAATGTGGACACAAAGACCTGTATCACAGGTATACTATGTGTGTGAAGGGGAAAATAAAAGGAAAATGCTTAGAATGATACCTGGCACTTAGCATTCAATAAATAGTAGCTTTTACTAATATTAATTATAATTCTCAGATGTGTATGGGACCTAATGTGGTCAGGACTTCAGATTTCTTAAGAGAAGCTAAATTTTTTTTTAAGATTTTATTTATTTATTTGAGAGAGAGAGAGAGCATGACAGGGGGGAGCGTCAGAGGGAAAAGTAGACTTCCTGCTGAGCAGGGAGCCCAATGCGATGTGGGACTTGATCCTGGGACTCCAGGATCATGACCTAAGCCAAAGGCAGTGGCTTAACCAGCTGAGCCATGCAGGTGCCCAAGAAGCTAAAAATCTTTATTTTTATATCAAATATAATGATTTTTAATGGTATTAATTGAATTGATTTAAAAACCCATATGGTGTTATTTAAACATATTTCCAGACCTGATCTGTCTCATGGGTGGCTCGTATAAACCCTCTGCAAAACCCTCCAGCTATTCCTTTTAAAATTATGTGAATCTAATTATGTCCCTGTTTCAAATATAAACATCGTGTTCTCAGCTTAATATCAAGACATGTATTTTGATAATGTATTTCTGTGAGTTGAGCTGTCTTCTGTTGACTTATTTGCAGCATACCTGATTTTTTTTTCTTTCCTGAAATTCATAGGACCTATTTTTGTGTTGACTGATTTGGAATAGGGCCTTGGTCTACTATACATAGAGAAGCAAATCAAAAAATAGAAATTTAAGATTATATCTTCATAACCATTATCCTCCAAATCAGAGCTATCTGGTCCTAACACTTGTTATCAACAGTGTTTGCAGATTTCTCAATTCTCTTAATTTGCAAAAAGAATATAAAAGAAGGTCAAAGAAATACTTGAGTATATTTTTGAAAAGTGGCCTTCTGTTCCCTTATTCGCTGCAAATCCTGAACATCAAGTACTAGAACAGTCTTTTATTTGGTCCCCAAAAAAGATTCAGGATTGCCTTAGAACTGGTTTTCCATCTGTGAAAAGAAGAACATGTGTAAAAATAATCTCTAAGTCTGCATGCTTCCAGAAAGAGAAATTGGGCATTAAACTGTGTTGTATATTCCTATTTCTGTAATTATTCCAGCACCCTAAAACAGAACCCCAAAATCAATGACTACCAGGTCTTTTTAGTCATTTGAGCCTAGAGGGGCAATAAAATCAAATGGCAGTGAGGGATGGGTTGGCTTTATATCACAGGGCTAGTATCATTCCCTCCCCAGTCTAGAGTATTTACTGTCTATTAAGAGAGATTTCCAGAAGAAAATGATGTACTACTTAAGGCATGCAAAGAAAAATTACCAAAGTGTCACAAAGTTATTAATCTTCCTGAGGAAATCAAAGCAAAACTTCATTGATATCAGATTTAATATTGAGGAGCATCATTTAATTGATTGCATCAACTCTTTGTGAATTTTAAATACGGTGCTTAGCCTCCCTGTTGGTCTTATCCACTTCCGGCTTTTGCTGGTTTGTATTTTATGTGCAGTACCATTTCAATTGCATCTGTGAAGAGAAAGGACTGAACGGAAACTTAACACCAGTGCTAAGAGGCAGCCTGATTCTTGTGATAGTTGACTTTGTAATGACTGGAAGTTTCTGCATGAACATTTGTTCGATTTCTGATGCCATTTTACCTTCAAAGCAGAGCTCCATAACTAGTTACTACCTACTAGGAAGTTATTAAGAAAACTTTCTTGGGAAATTATTAGAAGATCAAATTTATACTCCTTTTAAGTCTTAACCTTCTTACAATGTGATTTTTCTCCTAGACTTACAGTAAATGTATATCCTTTTAAAAAGCCTTGGTCAATACTGAGTGAGAATATTGCCTAAAATCTGACCTAGCTTACTGCAGGGATTTCTAAACTTCATTCATTTAAGCCCACCTCTCATGACTTTGTTATATCCAAGTGGCGACTGTACTGCTGTTTCCTTATATTAGGACCATAACTGGAAAAGCAGAAGCATCTGACACGATAACAGTTGATACAAAAATATAATGAAAAGCAAACAATATGTTCTTAAATTTTAAGTGCATATATCTGTGCTCTGCAGATTAAGTATATTGGAAAAGAGAGAAAGAAAGGTATTAGAGAAATGGGAAAGTGCAGCTGGTACCAGAGCAAAACAATTCACTGATGTAAACAGAAGAGTAGAATGACCATTACACAGGAAAGAATCTTCTCACCATGTAAATCAGTGCTACTTGACAATCTTTGCATCCACCACCTGAACCATCTTGTTTACCACCAGTCCTATCTGTGTCATGTTTGAGAAAATTATTGCCTTGGTGGTACATTGATAAGACTTGAAGAACACCTTTAGTTCATAGTCAATATATCAAAATGGATTCTGGATCCATGATTTCTCCTCCAAACCATCATGTCTTTATAATTGCTCTGCATCTGGGAAGAGCACCATCGTTGTCCCAGTGAGCCAGGCGTGAACACTCAGACTCGTCTCTACCTCCCACCTCTAATGAATCACAAAGGCACTTATGCCTCTGAAGCATCTTGTGTAACTGTCCTCTTTTCACTTGCCGTCGCCACTGTCCTAGTTCAGGATATTGTCTGTTCTCATCTGGACTGTGTTGGTAGCCTATTAAGGTTATGTCCCTGCTGTCAGTCTCTCCCTTCCACAGTCTGTCTTTTACATATTAATCATAAAGGCTAGCACTTACTGAGCACTAACTACACGCACTGTAGCAAACCTTTATCTAAACAACCTACTTGAATTCTCATAACCGTGGTCCTATTTACTACACATCAATACCCAAGATGTCGTTGTGGATGAGGAAACAGACTTCTAGAGGCTCATTTACTGCAGGACTGTAAGTTCACATGGCTTGTTCCTAGACTCATGCTCTTAATTATTACACTATTTTATTCCCACTGTGGCCCAGTGGGTCTTCTGGACACACGACTGTCACCATGTTTCAAGAATTTAGTAGGTCAGTTAGCACAAGCTACTGTTCCTAATATGCAAGCACCTGACCTCAGGAACCTTCCAGCTTTGTTTTCCATAATTTCCTATCTGATGACAGAATTAATCCATCTATGTTTTCTTGAATATAACAAGCCAATCCTATAAACAAACAGAATCTTAGTCTTTCTCTTTTGAATGGCTTCTCAACTCATCCCTACCTTCTTTATGTCTTTAAGGCTGAAAAGCACAGCACTTCTTCAATGAGGCCTTTACTTACCTTACCATCAAAACAATTTGGAGCAATTATTAAATTATGTGTCCTCTTGGAGTCAGACAGCTCAAGTTTGAATATTGGCTTGTATTATTATTTAATATATCTAAGCTCAATGTCACCAGTGTTGCAGGGTTGCTCTGAGGATTAAGTAAGATACTCCATTAAAAATGCTTAAAATTTTGCCTGGAACATAGAAAGGACTCTGTAATTGGAAGGCATTATTATTAATACTTATTATTATTATCATCATTATTTCATTAACTCTTCCTCGGAGCATTTTCACCCACCTTATAAAAACATAATTTCTGCCTTGTGTTGCTTAGGCATTTTTTATTTCTGCCCCCTCATTCCAATAAATTACAAATTTCACGACAGAAGCCTTGTTTTAATCATATTTGTATCCATGATATTAGGATGGTGGCTTGCTTAGAGTTGTTGATTAGTAGCAATTGTAGAATTGATTGCTTGTGACAATTATATTGATAAAACTGTAAAATTTCTCTCCATTTAATAAGCAATGCAGAATTCTATTATGTATATTCCCATTGCTCATTGTTTACTCCCAAGTAGAAGACTTTGCTCTTTCTGATCATGTTGCCATTGCCAGTTCACCAAATTATCTACATGATTTTTAGTATCAAGCAGAACTTTGTTCCTTCATGTTCTCATCCTGAAATGTGGGCTAGGAAAATGGGCAAATAAGTTTCGTAGGAGAACCTATGATCCAAATGCCATCATCCTGAATCAAAAAGAATATATCACATTCTTCCTCTGTCAGAATACCTTTAAAGCTTCCATATTTTCTTTAGGAGTGCAAACATCAGTGTTTCATGAAATATCCCCATAAGTTTTTGGTAAACCCATGAACATTAAATATTATTTACTTTCTTTTTGTCTTTAACTCACCTTTTAGGCTAGGATTCCATGTGCTAGTTATAGTTTCCTGATTTCTATTATAAGAAATACACAAATATTAAAATAAAAAGCCCACACACCACTAAATTTACCTTACTTTCCAATAGTACCGGGCAGACTGCAGTTTTAGAAATACTAGCTCTGTGGATAAAGTTCATGTTCATTGCTTGATTTCTAAAATATTTATAATCTACCCTACATCTTTAAACCTTGCCCACGGTTCTCCCATGGTACCCTTAACCGCCCTGGG